TGTGCTGCCTCCCCCAGCAGCCCTCGAAAGTGGCGACAATTTCGCAGCTCGCAGCCCCGAAGTAGTGGCAAGGCCTAATCTGAATCCGCGTATGGCGTCACTGTGCTGCCCCCCCCTCCAGCCCTCGAAAGTTGCGACAATTTTGCAGCTTGCAGCCCCGCCAGGGACGGAGAGGTCTGATCTGAGTCTGGGTATGACCCCACTGTTCTGCCCCCCCCCCTCAGCAGCCCTCGAAAGTGGCGACAGCTTCGCAGATCGCAGTCCCCAAGGGACGGCGAGGTTGAATTTGATGCTCGGTATGACCCCGCTGTTCTGCCCCCCCCCCCGGCGACCCTCGAAAGTGGCAACAGCTTCGAAGCTCGCAGCCCCCAAGGGGTAGCGAAGTCTTATCTGAGTCTGTGTATGACCCCACTGTGCTGGCTCTCCCAGCCGCCATCGAAAGTAGCGACAGTTTCGCAGATTGCAGCCCCTGAGGGCTGGCAAGCTCGGAGGCAGGTACGAGAGACGTACGAGACAAGAGGAGAGATAGAAAGAGAGAGAGAGAGAGGGAGAGTCAGAAAAAGAGAGAGAGAGAGAGAGAGAAAGTAAGGAGGGAGGCGGGATGAAAGAGGAACGCGACCAGTGCTTGACGGAGGGTTGGGACAAATCGTGACGGGAGGTTGTCCGTAGCTTTCGGGGTCCAGGAGCCCTCGCCGGGCCCCAGGACCGTCAAAAACGACTCAGGATAAAAAAACGGTCCTGGGGAAAGGGCAAGGTAAGGACTTCCAAGGACCGCGCTCTGAGAACATCAGGGCGTCGGTTGTCTGGGCTGAGTCCTTCTAGAAAACAGGCCACGAAAACCGCCCCAAGGCGAGCCTAGACGGCTCCGGAGTTTCGTGCAAAACTCTGGAGATCTACACGTGCAATCAAGCACGGGAGAGGACACGCGATCTCGAGAGCAGACGCGACCTTTCCGAGGGCCGCATCGCCACAGGGATGTAGAAAGCATGGGCTGCGAAACATAAGAGACAAGGGTACTCTTGATTTGGCAGGGTCGACCTGCTAATCAGACTCGACTGTGTACAACGGCTACACCCTCGACCCACAGAACAGGGGCACAAAAACAGCCAGCGTGAGCCTCTCATTAGAAGAAGAGAAAACGACCTAAAGATCAAGTTTTGGCGCTCCGCGCGGATTTCTTGGATCCGCGCTGGACCTCCCCTCCCTGGCGCGCCAGGGGCGGCGCCGGAGGCGCCGCCAGGGAGGGGCCAGCGCAGACCCAAGAAATCCGCGCGGAGCGCCGAAAGTTTATGTTTATGGCGTTTTGTCTTCTTCGACCTTCGACCCACAGAACAGGCAACAAACAACAGCCAGCGTGAGCCTCTCATGGCGCCATAGCTCTGGGCCCTTGGCCTTCATAAGGTCAGCCTGCGGGGCCGTAGAGCAGGGGCCCGACCACAAGAAACCTTCCACAAGCAACCCAACCCTGAGACCCCAGGACGCCCATGGACTGTTGGTGTGGGAGCGTCACGCCGTCAGTAGCAAAACCAGCGAAACCCAAGAAGCCCAGGGCACCCTGGAGGCAAGCAGGGTGCTTCTTGGCATGGACCCCCACTACACGTCGGTCGGAAGAAGTAGGTAGAAACATGAAGTAGGAAGGCGGATATAATAGATTGGGTCCAGGCCCTCCCAGAGAATCACAAAGCACAGCAGCAGCAAGCCGACTCTGATTCTTGAAGTAGGAAGGCGTCTGAAGCAAATCGGGATGTGGGAGTCCGAAAAGTACCTACCTCAGATGGTCTGGTACCGGAAATTTTCGGTAGCGATTTCGACGCACCCCGAATTTCGGTAGCGACCGGATCTTCGTTTGAGGGCGTTAAAATAGCGGATTTCAGAACGGTGTGATACCGGTATTGGGCGCTACATTTCGGTATTTCGGTAGCGACCGATCTCTGCGGAGCGCTACCGGAAATTTTCGGTAGCGGACCATCAGGGACCTCCAACGACCAGCGTGTACATCCCTGGGCCCTGCATGGGCCTTCGTAGGGGCGGCCTGCCGGGCCGCGTGTCCCGAGAGCGCGCTCCCCTGGCCGGAGGCCCCGGAGAGGACTGTACGGCTTCGTGGCGGCGTGGGCGCCCGGGGAGGCCGCCCCACAGGAGGCCCCAGCTCGGAGGCCGGGCAAGGGCTGCCAAACCCGTGGCTGCTGAGATCGACCTGCGGGAAGTTGCCTTCGCCCTTCCGGGGAGAAGCTCGGAGCCTGTGAGCCTGTTTGTTTTTAGACTCTGGCAAATTTACTTGCATGGACGGGGGGGGGGGGCTGAGCCTGAAGCGAGCCGCAAACGACTTGCACGTTCGGGGGGCGCGGAAGTCACGCAAGTCGAAAGGCACTTGCACGCTAGTATTCGCTTGAAGAGGGGCGAGGGGGGGGGGGGGGGGGGCGAACGCCATGCAAGTAAACTTGCCTGAGTCCAAAAAAACACAGGCTCTTGACTGTGTCGCGTGCCGCGCCTCGTTCCGGGGAGCTGTTTTTGTTCCTTCCGGGAGGGCCAGTTTAAGCAGCTACGGTTTTAGCAGCCCTCGCCCAGCTTTCGACCAACACGCGTCCGAGAGCCTCGATCCTCGGCGCCGGGACCTCGCTCCCTGGGCCCTCGGTCTGGATACATTTCCTCCAGAGGTCCGACGCTCCAACAGAAATTGGAGCGGGCAACTTGTGATCGTTTTCGGCCTCCGGGGGCCCTCGCGGGGCCTCGGGACCGTCAAACAACGACTCAGGACGAAACACCGGTCCTGGGGAAGTGGTCCAGACCTCTGGAGCCGATGCATCGAATAAAATTGAAGCAGCCAGATATCTGGGTCGGCATGTTCGTGCGGAGATGCCGCGGGCTCAGGATCTTCACGCCGCGTGGACCAGTTGGCATTGAACGAGCGCGGCTCTCAGATGGCGCGGATCGTTCCAGGTGCGCCCGCCAAAGAAGGCCCAAAGACGTCCCAAGAGGAGCCCCTGAGGGGCTCAAGTCAGCCCAAGAAAGCCCCAAGATGCCCCAAGAAGACTCACCCTGGGAGTCTTCCAAAACGGCCTCGAGGGGTTCAAAGACGGACCAGGATGGCCCCGAAAGGGCGCCAATCGAGCCCTAAGACAGCCAATCTGTCTGGAGATAGTACCTCCCCATGTCTTCCTGGCAACGGGGAATGAAAGCTCGACTATCGTCGAGCGAGTTACACATCGATCATAAGCCGCAACCGTGGCCGGGGGCACGAGACGGGCCCCCCCTCTAAACAAAAAGCAACAGCGGCATCCCCTCTTGGCAGGTGTCGGCATCTGGGGGGGCCTCGCTGGACCCCAGGACCGACAAAAACATCGCGATGGAAAGCGGGTCCCAGGGAAGGGGTCCAGACCTGTGGAGGGCCACGCTGTGAAACAAAGCGCGACGTCGGCTGTCTGGGAAGGGGTAACCTGTGGTGCGCGGCTTTTTGAGGGGCCGCGGGGAGGCCAGATTCGGGCGCGCAGGCCCATGCTGGGGAGGACCGCTGTGGGCCCGCCCGCACCCAGACGTCACTCTGGAGAAGGGCCACTCTCACGCGCACGCCCCACGCGCGGGGGCAGGGGGGAACGCCTGGCGCGGCGGCCTGGTAAGCCAGGGCGTGGGCCCGAACTTATGATTCGACGGGGCCCGTTCCCAGCGACGGGCCGGCGACAATCCTTTGTGACTCCCAAGGGAAGCAGCTGGCGCAACGATCGTGTCCGCCACCGTGCCCGCGGCACGCTATTGCGTGGAAGAATGCCAAGGGCTGCCTGGCAGGGTTTCTCTTTCGGCGGTGGACAAACCTTCATTTAGCAAACCTCCCCTCAGAGAAAAAGGCCTGGGACCGAAACCGACGGACCTGGACCCGCAAAAATGACGGCCGCGACGCCCTCTCGCGAACCGAGAACGGCCAATTCCTTAATCGACGTGTCAGGATAGGAGGTCTATCCACCCCCGGCTCTTCTCTTCTGAGGAGTTCTCCCATCCTCCCCTCAAGGTCAGGTGACTGCACCGCCGCTACTTCCTGGGCGGTCCCTGAGCGGCCATGGCGCCTCCCTGGGGATGGCGGCCCAGGAGGCCCCCAGGACGGTCCCAGAGGACCCCGAGTCGCTGAGCGATCGCTCGAAGCCGTCCAAGATGGCCTCAAGATGGCCCAGACGTCCCTATATGTCTCCAAGAAGCCTCCCAAGAGGCCCCCCAGAGGCAAAAGTCATCGACTTGCCTCAAGTGTTTGAAGGATGTTGGCGTTCTCTTTTCTGCTTTCCGACACTCCGATACGGCCCAGGAGGCACCAAAGACTACCCCAAAACGGCCCAAGAGAAGAGAGCCCCAAGACGGTCTAAGAGCGCCCCAAGACGGCCCAAGAGGCGCCCAAGACGGCCCAAGAGGGCCCCAAGACGGCCCCAAACACGAACCGAATATCTGGGCATTACGCCGCCCCAAAGGGGCCCCCAGGAGGCCCCAAAAGGCGCCCAAGAGGAGCCCAAGAGGCCCCCAAGAGGCCCCAAGAGCCCCCAAGAGGCCCAAAAGATGCCCCAAGAGGTCCCCAAACGGCTGCCACGAGGCTTCAAAACTGTCTCCAAGAGGCCACCGAGAGGCCTCCCACGAGATCCCAACAAACATCCAAGAGATTTCACACCCACAACCCTGGCACCGTGGCGGGACTCGCCGTAGACAGCTGGATACTTCTGCGCCAGGAGTCTGCACTGGAGCCAATGTCAACGTCTATGTTCGAAGCAATATCATTCGCTGCTCGCTTGATCTGAGACGCGGGAACCTCCAGACCCATTCCGCCAGACCTGTGAACGCACGAGCGACACGTTGACGACTGGCAACCAATATCACAGCAACTTCTACTGCCGCGGCCTGCCTTCCAAACGAACGCTCCCAATTCTCCCCCTCCTCCCCCTTCTTCCTCTGCTGCAAATCCGTCCCCTCTTTTCCTCGGCCACTTTCTTCATGGCGCAACTTGGGCCACAACCTCGCTCCCTGCGCGACTAACGGCAATGAGCACACAATACCTTGCGCTGCTGGCCTTTCTTGCACGGGCTGCTGTAAGCGTACTTGGTGGGTGTGCTGTCCCACCTCGCTTCCAGTGGCTCAGTCGGCGACCACAATGCCCGCTGCCAATGCCCACGTATGCCTTGCTCGGTTGCTGCCTCCAACGCTGGCATGGGTGACGTCCACTCGCACGTGCCCCACTCGTCTCGTGCACGATCGCTCCCGGTTCGGTGGGAGGACGGCGCCCAGGCCTGCTCCCCGCACTGCGCCTGGGCGGCGGCCGAAGACCCTGGCGAGTGCGTGGGCTGCTCGGCGCAGGCGCAGCACCCGACGCCCTCGGCCATACGATGCCGCCAGACCTGGCCAGCTGCTCGCGGATCCTCTGCGCGCGCTGGCTCCGGCGCTGGGGCCTCCGGGGCCTGGCCGAGAGAGGGCGCCGCCTCCCGCGGCGTCTGTCCGCGAACACGGCACGGGCCGCCTCCGGCCTAGCCGCAGCTGTCGCACGCGCCGATGGCTGCGCTGTAGCTCGCGCTGTCTGGCTCGAGCTTCGCCTCCCGCAGTTCGCTCAGCAGCTGCAGAGCCTGCTGCCACTGCGCGCCCCTCTCGGAGGCGCTGATGCAGGAGTTGTAGCTGACTGGGGCTGGCCCGTGGACGTCCGTCCGCGGAATCGGCCCGAGCTGGAGCGGCCGTGATGGCTCCTCCTCCTCCTCCTCCTCCTCCTCCTCCTGCTGCTACTCCTCCTCCTTTCCTCCTCCTCCTTTCCTCCTCCTCCTCTTCCTCCTCCTCCTCCTCCTCCTCCTCCTCTTCCTCCTCCTCCTCCTCCTCCTCCTCCTCCTCCTCCTCCTCCTCCTCCTCCTCCGGGGGGACTGGGCAGCCGCATCGGGGGCGTCTTGGGGCCCTCTTAGGGCCGTCCTGGGCCGTCTCGGGGCTCCTGTGGGGGCCTGGTGGACCGCCGTGGGGTGCAAGACGGTCCAGGCGGCCCGAAGCAGACGGCCCGAAGACAGACCAAGACGGCCTCAGGAGACCCCGCAGGGGCCCCAAGGGGGCCCAAGGCGGCCCGCAAGGAGCCTAAGGGGCTCCTTCGAAGCCATCTTGGAGCCGTCTCGCGTCGAGAAGCCTCGGAAGCAAGAAACATGGAACAGTGGTTCTCCAAGATGCGGGGTGCGATGCGGCAAGGAAGAACACCAGAACCCCACGAAACAGATCGGGAAAACCAGGTTTCCGTCTTGAGGCACTGCACGTTCCCTCTCGAGGGTTCCAGGAGGAGGAGCGCGCGAGCGAGAAGACGGGGCAGAGGACTGGAAGGCTGGGCGAGCGGAGGCGCAGGAGCGACAAGCAAGGCGCAGGAGGAGGGCAGGGAGGGAAGAGCAAAGACGCAGGAAGAGGCAGGGGGGGATAAGACACCTCCTCCTCCTCCTCCTCCTCCTCCTCCTCCTCCTCCTCCTCCTCCTCCCCCCCGCCCTCCTCCTCCTCCTCCTCCTCCTCCTCCTCCTCCTCCTCCTCCTGCTCCTACTCCTCCTCCTCCTCCTCCCCCTCCCCTCGGACCCCTGATTTTTCACGACGCGAGCATGTCTGGGAACACGAAGAAAAGAAGAGACAGGGCAGGACAGGGCAGCAGTGATAGTCAAGGATGGGAGGCAAGAGACGCTGGGGAGGAAGGCGGAATCAGAATCCGACAACGGCGGCGGGGCAGAGAAGGGACATATAAGAACACATGACACATTCGGGCTCCAGTTGCTTATGTCTCCAGCTTGGTAACAGAGAGGGAGAGAGAGAGAGAGAGAGAGAGCGAGAGAGAGAGAGGGGGAGAGGGAGAAAGAGGTATGTACATATCAGTATGTATGTTTATACGGAGAGGGAGAGAGAGAGAGAGAGAGAGAGAGAAACACAACAACAAATAACGGTACAAACCGAGCGAACGAGGGAGACAGAGACGCAGACAGCGATGCATCTATACATATATCACGAGCTAGAGGGGGCGGCTTCAAGCGAGAGGGAGGGAGACAGGGAGAGAGGACAGAGAACGAGAGGTGGAGAAGTCAGCGAGAGAGAGAGAGAGAGAGAAGGCGAGAGAGAGCGAGAGAGGCAAAGCGAGCGAGAGGCACAACGAGAGAGAGAGAGAGAGAGAGAGTGGAGAGAGAGAGAGAGAGAAAGAGAGAGAGAGAGAGACAGAGAGATGTATAGAGAGAGGGAGAGAGAAACAGAGAGATAGAGAGAGAGGGAGAGGAAGAGCGAGAGGGTGGGGCATGGTAGGCGCGCTCGCGCCTGATCTGTTATCTTTTCCCTCCCTCCCATCCCTTCCCATGGCGCTGAATTTCTCTATCCGCAGACGCGTGTCATAGCCGACCTGCGACTAACACAGAAAGACCACTCAAAGGGGAACTGCGTGCACAGGAAGGGTGGAAGAACTGGCGGGTGAGCAGGATGAGCGGGAGAAAAAAAATGAAGACGACATCAACACGAACCAAGGCAGAAGTATCGGGAGGGAAAGGAGGACCAGAGGAAGGCGGAGGAGTGGAAACGAGGGGGGCGACAACGATGAGGAAAGACTCGGATTCAGAAAAGTGGCCCGCACTGGGGAGAGACGAACAGCAGCACCAACAGCAAGAACTGGAGTGGAAGGAGCGGTAGGAACAGGAGGACTAGAGGAAGGCGGAGGGGAACTGATTGGGGGACCACAATGAAACAAGACTCGGGACCAGAACATTGGTCCATTCTGAACGACGGGAGCAACGCGCCGATCCGAAAATGAGGCCCACGCTGCAGCGAGAGCGCAATTTTGAAACACCGAAAACCTTGGATTGTAAAGCTAACAAAACAAAACGCGGAGGGGGCGGGAGATCTCATAGTGATAACTATGGGAAGAGAGGGAGAGAGAGAAGGAACTCGAGAATGGGAGAGAGAGAGAGAGAGATAGAGAGAGAGGCTAGAGAGAGAGAGAGAGCGATAGAGACCAACAACACAATGATGAGAGAGATAGGGCGCAACAGAGAGGCATATAAAGACAACTGTATACATGTATATATCGGTATATGTGTAGTGAAAGAGAACGAGAGGGAGATATACGGGAGAGAGGGAGAGCGAGAGGGAGGAAGAGAGCGAGAGGACAATGCTGGAGAGAACGCGGATGAAGGATAACGGAGAAGTAATATTGAAGGACGAGGCATTAATAGTAGGATCAAGTGAGGCCTCTTGGAAGCCTCTCAGAGGCCTTCTTGGGGGCAATCCTGCAGGAGTCTTGGGGCCACTTGCCCGAGCATCTCGGATATGTGGGACCCTAGGTGGGCTGTCTTTGCCTTCTGGAGCCCCCTGAGTGCTGAAGACCATTTCAGGACACCTCGGGGGCCTCTTGGGGCGTCTCGGCGACATCCGCGGGAGCCTTCTGCGGCCTCTATCAGGGGGGCGCTCTTGGGTGTCTCATGGGGCATCTTGGAGCCATCCTCGGGCCGTCCTGGGGCGCTCGTTTTCCCAAATTCTCGTTGAGTTTGTTAGCTCGTTTTGTCAAGGTGGTCAGGCCTTAGCTGGAGCAGTTCTGTGGGTGTCCCCACGGCCACCCACAACGCCCCTCGCAGCTGGAGGTCGAAGTGCTAGCAAAGAGAACAGAAGCGGTCGCATTCGAAACAAAGGCCGTCCTGGGGTGCTCTCGTGGCCTGCACTTGTCTGGGCTCTCCTGCAGACTTGTCTGGGCTCTCCTGGAGACTCTTGGGCCCAAAGCTCCACGATGGGCACAACTGTCAATGTCGACACCTATTGACAAACACGGCCAATGTACTTTAAATATTGCGCTCTCTGACCGGGGAGGGCTGATCTCAACCCTCCTGGAGGGTTCATCGGGCTCGCTTGGGCCATCTTGAGGGCATCGTGGCATCGTCTTTCTGGCTCTTGAAGCCTTCGATGAAGCCTGTTGCCGGGGATGGACAGAACCCCCCTTTAGCAACACATGGCTCCGTGAAAGCGACCTCGGGCCCAAGCCTGGCGGGCGCAAGCCTGGAAAAAGACGGCCGCGGCGCCGCCTCGAGAACCGAAAACGGACAATCCACGAATCGACGTGTCAGGGTGGGGGTTCTGTCCACTCCCGATGTTGGTGCTTTTTTGATGGGCCGGTTTTCCACCACCACCACCATAAGTTGGAGGGGGGAAGGAGGAGAAGCACGAGGAGGAGAAGGACGACGAGGAGGAGGACGACGGGGAGGTGGAGCAGGAGGAGGAGGGCGAGGAGGAGGAGGAGGACGCCCTCCCCCTCCAACTTATGGTGGTGGTGGAAAACAGGCCCATCATTTTCGGGTGCCTCGAGGAAGCTATGGGCGTCGACGACCGACTTCCACCGATAGTTGCCAGAACTCTGGCGGCCGCTCGCGTGCGGCCCGTGGCACTTCGGGAGGGGTTACCTGCAGACCCTCCTCGGGGACACTGCGGGGCTCCAGCCTTGGAGTCTCGAGGGTCTTAGAATTCGGGCTTCGCGAAACTGGGAGGGGTAACTTCTAGACCCTCCTCGGGGATACTTTGGGGCTCCAGCCTTGGAGTCGCGAGGGTCTTAGAGTTCGGGCTTCGAGGAACTGCCTGCCCCTTCCTCAGTAACTCGAGCTTCCAGCGAGCTCTCGAGCTCCAGCCTTATGCAACAGCAAGGGCAAGGGCAACTTGCCACGAGCGCGTAACACCTCTGGAAAATCAGGGATAAATCGGCTTACTCGATTGTGCTTCTTTTAGCGGGCTAGCTACGTGTGGCCACTTCCCGCCGGCCGGACTGGGCTTTGTGCCTGTGATTACAGGACCTGTACCTCGCAGAGCCTTTTCCATGCCTCTTAGGGCTTCCCTTCGCAGATTTCGTGTGTCCCGGGGGGGAGGGGGAGGAGGAGGAGGAGGAGGAGGAGGAGGAGGAGGAGGAGGAGGAGGAGGAGGAGGAGGAGGAGGAGGAGGAGGAGGAATAGGAGGAGGAGAAGGAGGAGGAGCAAGAGGAGGAGGAGCAGGATAATGAGCAAGAGGAGGAGCAGGAGGAGGAAGAGGAAGGGGGAGGGGAGGCGGGGGGGTTGTTGGACGAGGAGGGCCAACCAGAACGGCCACTTTACAACCAGGACGGGCACTTTACAATCAGGCGAATAAAAGCACATAAGCGACACATGTTCTTCAATGTCCGAAATCTCCGTGAGTCCACCTAAGGGAGACAATTCGCTCTCTGAAGCGTATTGATTGTAAAGTGACCCGTCTGCAGCGAGAATATGTGAAGTGGCGGATTCCGAATGGGATCCAAAAGGAGTCCTAGTGGACACATATCGGCAGTCTTTTCACGGAGATCCAGTTGGCACCAAAAAAAAACCCATTGGTATCCAACAAGATGCCTCGATATGGGGTCTACGGGTGTCCTATTGGAATCCGATAGGGATGCTTCCTATTGAAACCCGTTGGGGCCCTTCCTAATGGAAACCGATTAGAAACCTCATTGGGTCACAGTCGAGAAACCTTACTATTGAATGCTGCGAGAAACGCACTGGGGGTACTAGATAGAAGCCCGGTGGGTATTCTTGTGGGTTCGTATTCAAATTCAGTAGGACCCGTCATTCTTGTAATCCCATCAAAGAAATATGGGCGAATACGAAGGATATCGCATTGGAACCCAATCGGAATCCTTCCTTTTCG